GAAGTTATTTCAATCAGAAACAGCCTGGCGTGGATTTTACACTGGATTTAACTTTATGTACACACACTAAAGCTAAGCTTCTTATATACGACGACTCATACGGCTACGAGAAGTTTCTTAAGCCGATTGTTTGCAGTAATACTGTGTTGCAAGAAGTGCATTAGGTAAATGTGGTTTTAGACTAAAATTGGCTTGGATGGATGACATATTAGAGGATGCTAGGGCACATAGAATAATGATATTATGTAATGCTATTTCGAGCTATAATAATATTTACTGAATATGAACTTTTTCTTATACAATATTTCTCACTCGAACCTATACATTATTATCAAACCAAATTATATCAATAGGATAATAATTTCCTAAGTAATTTTCGTTTATTACAATAAACATAAAACTTAACGATAATACTTATGATATTCACTGGATATTCCCGTCTAAAAATGGTCATAATCTAATGATATCGACTTTTTATAGGCAATTAAAGATACTCGTTCTGCGACTAGATGTGTATTTTGCTCGTTATCTTTTCGAGACTTGGCTAGCTTTCAAATGATTTAACCGAAAAGATCGGGAATCCTTTCAGATTGAACGGTTTTTCATTCGATATTAAATCAGTGGCATACTCTAAATTTGATATTGATAATATTTCAATATATTTTTTTTACACTATAAGGAACAAGGCTCTCATGTTGTGCCGAAACCTGGGGATGCAAACCAGGGATCTTGAGATGGATGTACACCATGATAGTAAGACTAACCCTACTATATAGATCGATAGTCTGTTTCAAAGAAGTTGATAAGCAGAACATAGAAGCACCTCTCAACAAACTACAGTGCCTGGCGTGCACATGCATCACGGGCGCAATAAGAACTTGTCCTACAGCAGCCATCAAGACAATTGTAGGTCTCACACCTCTTCACATCATGGTGGAGAAGGCCGCTAGTCAAGCAATGACTAGAATCACGAGAGAGGGGGATGGCGAGGAAGGGTGGGCTTGGAAGGAGATAATTAGCATGTCTCAGAAAGCTTATTCCGCTCCTCAAACTCCCCAGGGATGATATGATCAAAACATATAATTTTGAGAAATGTTTAACAGTAGTCATAAGATGCAGAGAAGAATGAAAAGAAACATCACATCCGTTCCAACAATGCAGCAGAAAGCCGTGAAATGGTATACTGATGGGTCAAGAATGGAACAAGGGACCGGACCCGGAATACTTGGGCCTGGAATTCAGTTCTACGAAGCAATGGGAAATCACCAAAACATATTTCAGGCGGAAATAAACGCTCTAAGTAGGGGAGAGTAACCTAAGATGGGACAGTTTTGCTCTGAAGCAAAAATTTAAAAATCTATGTATGTTTAAAAAACTTTATCATAATAAAATGAAAGTATAGGCTAGTTAACAAATTATTTCAATGATAAAGTTATTGAACAAATGAACGAAAAGGTTTATTTTTGGTTTTCAAAAAAATGATTCAATGTCCCATCATGGGAAACCGGTTTCTTAAGATGGGTCGACTGGTGTCCCAAGAAGGGACATTAAGTTTCACAATTGCGGCAAGTGAAATACAAATCATCCATTACTCCACAGGACTCTTGAGCCCACTCTGCACATAAACGGCAAGTGTACCAGTCTTCGGTACTCTCTGAGTACTTCTCTCCGCATACAGTGCAACAGTCATCAACATTTTCAGTTGTGGTGATCGAGTTATTGCCGATCGTATCTTCAATTTCTGATTTTCGAGCGCTTTGGTTATTATTATCTTCGATAGTTAGTGCCCGTTTGGCAGATTTAACATTTTTCTTGAGGTTTGTGGCCTGCGATTCCTCTAACTCAGTTTTGTATGGCGATTCTGTCAGTATCGTGGATTTCAATGAACGTCTAGAAGAAGTCTTTTCTGTTTTTTTTTTTGCTTTTGGTAGGGGACTTATGTCAGTTAGTTTTACCTTCCTTGAGAAACACTGGTTGGTAGTTATTGGTTTTTTACACTTCGCGACAAGAGTTGATATCGGTTGGTCGTCTTCGGAATCGCTGATGCCTTCCTCTGAAATTGAAGCCGATTGTTTTGACGTTGAAGGAATCGGATTTTCATACAGTGAACTCTTTTTGCACGAAGACGTTTTACCCTGATTGGGGACTATGGTCTGAGGTATGTTCGGTAATGCATTTTCTTTCATTTCATTTTCTGTTTCCATTGGCTGTTCGGTCGTTTTAGAGGGTGCAAACTGCCAATCTTAAAAAACATCTTTATTAAAAGGCCAAATTCCAGTTACTCGAAAGCCATTTACCGCAGTTTGGACACATGATGCTTTTGCAAATGCTTCTGCTACGGCACCTGCAATTTGATACAATCCGAATGTCCGACCGCAATGATTTTTTAGCCACCTAGAAAGGTACAAATCGTAGTAAGTCATAAATGATTTGAAATAACAAACGTCTAGGGGTTGCATTTTATGTGTACAATGCGGTGGTAGGCATAGCAGAATGACACCGTTTTCGCGACAATAGTTTATAACATTCAAACTTTTTGTATGCGAGCAGTGGCCATCCAGAATAATAAGAATCGGACTCTCCTTTGACGGTCTAGTTTGTTCGACAAAATATTTCATGAATTTGGAAAATACCTCACGATCCATCCATCCTTTGTCCTGTGGGAAAGCGGGACTACCGTTAGGTGCATTGTCCATAAGCTCCGGTTTTATTCGCTTCCTTGAAAATATAAAAGCAGGCGCAAGAAAATTGCCACTTGCACTCATGGAGGCAACTATAGTCACATTAACACCTCTTTCGGCACTTGTCAAACCTCCAACTTGCTTTTTGCCCTTCGCTCAGAACCTTAGATAATTTCGGGACGGTGGTTACACCGGTCTCATCAACGTTCCATATTCTGTCTGGTGTAAATTGATGTTTTTCATAGATTTTCTCGAGATTATTGAAAAAACTTTGAACTGCAGTCTGATTGAATCCCGTGGCTCTAGCGTAAGAGGTTGCTTCTGGTTTTCTAAGAGATATATTTCTATGCCGACGTAGGAACCCGTAAATCCATTTCTTAGAAGCCATTCTATTATCTTTATTAAAAGTGTTGGGAATATTATTGGCCTGAGCAAAATCAAACGCTAACTGACGGAGTTCTTTGTAGGTTATTCCAAAAAATCGCTGTTCCATCTCAAGAATATATTCCTTAATCTCATTTTCTTGTTCATCAGTAAAAACCTTCCTAAACCGCCCAAGATATTTTTCATTTTCATTTACAATCTTATTTTTGTTTGTTACTCGTCTTTGCAGCGTACTTTTCGGAATATTATACTGATCGCCAGCGTCTCGAACCGATAACTCCCCATTTCATACTTTTTCTATAGCCATTTTCATGTCTTGGACGGACCATTTTCCACGATCAGTTTTTCTTTTATAGTAGGAATCCTTTTTGGACATCTGTAATAGCAAAATAAAAAAGTTAAGAGGAAAACAAATTTTGTTTCCCAAGATGGGACGACGACCCGACTTAGGAATATTAATTTTGGTTCCCAAGATGGGACGTCCCGACTTGGGAATATTTACAGCGTCCCATCTTAGGAAATATGCATGATTTTGTAAAACAACATAACCTCTATTCAATGAAAAACTTAAAGGTAAATATTCTATATAGAAATCCATGTTTTCAAGCACTCTTAATGATCTAACAACATTAAATTACATGATTACTTACCGTTGCTGCTTAATCCAGTATATTATTGCGGAGAAATATTTTTAAAAAATATGTAAACATTAACAGAATGCGCTGTCCGACTCTACATGTGCAATGGCCGCTTGTCGTTTGAGTGGGAGCACGACCGAATCGAGAGCTTTTGACGCTCCACTGTAGATGTCGCTACTTAGCACGAATCTTTTGAAATAAGAACTGTCCCGACTTGGGGACCGTCCCGTCTTGGGTTACTCTCCCCTACATGTGCTGAGTTCAGTCTTGAAAGAAACTACACAAAGAAAAGATATTGTCATATTCTCAGACAGTCAAGCAGCCATCGAAGCGCTGAGCTCACAGCTCCAGAATGGTTTGCGAATGCCTGGACAAGTTGAACGAATTGGGCAAAAATAAGAAACTATCTCTCCATCGGATACAGGGACACGCAGGGATCGCAGGTAATGAGAAGGCGGACCAATTGGCGAAATTGGGAGCACAAACTCCACATTCAGGACCAGAGCCTTTCTGTGGCATAGGAACGCACACCTATGAGAAAGCGTTCAGAAAAGTAGAGCGGACCAAATGGATCAGACTCTGGAAACAGCTTCCAGGGTTAAGGCAATCAAAAATGTTTCTTGGTCCGCCTCACCAAGGGAGATCAAAAAACCTTATATCACTGAGTAAAAACAATCTTCGCATTCTCACTGGATTCCTTACAGGCCACTGCCGGTTAAGAGGGCAACTTAACAGAATTAGAATCGAAAACGAAGACAGCTGCCGGTTCTGTGGGGGAGGGAAGGAAACTCCAGGGAGTGCGAGGCGATCGTGAACAAATAGACGGAGAGCCAGCGCCGAAAAAATTTTCTGAATTTACCATCGAGCTTTAAACTGCTAGAGGGATCAACATGCATATTTGTTTGGTTCCATAATGAGGAAGCGGGGTGAGAAGGGTGTTTCATCAAATAAACAACAAAGAACGTAAATTTCCACGCAAGTAGTAGAAAAAAAAAAAGGCCCAGTTGCCGATTTTTTTTCTGTTTTTATAATAATGAATATCATTTAGCTAAAAGTATCTTTTGTTCAAAATTTTCTGCGTATAATAAAATCAAAAATATATTAGGGACATTTTAAATTTATACCTAGAATAATTCTGAAACAACAATACCTTTTATTACCAGTCTAATAACATCTAAGAGATACGTAACATCTAAGAGATACGTTTCCGTTATCGTGTTTTTGTGAAATTTTCAAAGTTTTTAGTTTGAATTATTGTGTTTGTGCCTATTTATTTAGAAGCAAGAACATTTTAATAATGGGTAAATGTGCTGCATGTGGTCATTATCCGAATAGGGATTTGAACCGTTCGATTCATGGGTAAGTGTATATTTACCATTTATAAATGGCCAACAGTGGCGTAGTAATGTTTTTAAAGCAAAAATGCTAGTATTGGCAGTATCGCTATTGCTGAGTTTTTAATCAAATTGAGTAAGAAATTAAAAACTTAATATTCCTACTATCTTTTATACCCAATATTTACCAAATTTTTAAATAAAAAAAGCTCGAAAAAAATCTAAATAAAAATGATATAGTAGGTAATTTAGGTAAATGGATAAGTTATATTTTTGTACACTTGACCAATTAATTATTTGTACTTGAACTAGATTTAGGTACTACATTTTTTTTAACCAATGTCAAAACATCAAATTGAAAATAAAGTAAAAATTTGGTATGGTTGAACTGTTTACATATTATTACTTGAGTACCTACTTGTTCTTATTCATCCAAGCATACTAATTTTGTCCTAACAATTTATTCTTATAAACAAGTATGACTTTTGAATTCAAGAGAATCACTTTTCAAAACACAATAGAGAATATTTGTGTAGCATCTCGCAAGGGGCTTTTTGCTTTAAAATATATTTTTTAAATTGTTTCTAGACTTCACTTTAAACAAATCAAAGAAAAAGTAAATTTCATTAATATCCAGTAATAATTAGAGGCGGCCTTTATGGAGGCAGCAGAGAGCATTTTGTATCCTGATCAGCAAATGATTCCTTTCCTCCAAAATCTTTGACACAGTTTAAAATTAATGGCAAACTTATGAATGTACTTGATTAATTGTCGGTTGCTGTTCTTTTTGGCCATAAGCATTAAAATAATCAAAACATGGTATTTTTAGATGGCCTCAAGATGAGGATATTAAGAAAGAGTGGTTAAACCATTTGGGCATGAAAGCAGCTGAAATGACAGTTACACCAAGATCTCGTATCTGTTCAGATCATTTTGATGAAGGTGCATTCCTCCTAAAAAAATATGGCGAAGAGCAAAGAAAATATTTGAGAGACGATGCAGTTCCCAAGAGGTAATTTTTTGTTTTAATATTCTAGAAGGATGTTTGTAAAAATTTATACATTTTTTTATGTGTTGTTTTGTTGTTTATGCTACTTTTTTTAGGTATGAAAAAATGGTTTTGGAGACGAGTACCCAGAGGAAGGAATTCCTTTCAAGGAGTCCATCTTCTACCCTAACTGCAACATCTCCGAAATCGTCTTGCTCTACTGTGACAGTATCAGAAGAGTCAGTTTTCCATTCCAGTTTCAATGTTTTGTTGGAATCTCAACCATCAACTTCATCTGCAAGAATCGCACCAGAAGTGGCCTTTTCTAGTTCTTCCGAAAATCCTCCACTTAATCCTTCATCAAAAAAAAGGTACATATTTTCCTGTTTTGCCTTTCTATTCTTTATTTAGTAGTTGTTTATAATACACAATACGGGTGAGTTACAAAGCGTGCGGTGTTCCATATCTCCTATACTAACGCAGATCGAAGAAAAAACTACATACGAAACTTGTAGATAAACATGAGTACTACATTCCTAAATTATTTTCCAGTATACAAGGTGGCCCAATAAGTAGTCGTGATACAAAGCTATGCTTTTTTGAATGACACCCCCTGTATATTATGAGATTTCTGGATTCTGTGGAAAATTCTAGACATATTCCATGTACAATGCCATATACCTATTTTCAACTTTTTCGGAAATTTTGACAGTTGAAAATTAACTTTTTTGCATCTTTGACAGACTGTAAAACTTAAACGGTTGATTTTACAGCAAAACCGATTTTACGTTCTTATCCTAGATTTTCATAAGCTATCATTCGATACTAACTTTGTATTTAACCGGAGATTAATAGTTTAAGCGGAATTTTTAATCATGGATTAAATTCAAAGTTGGTGTCAAATGATAGTTTATAAATAACTAAAACAAGAATATATGATCGGTTTTGCTATAAAATCAACCGTCCAGGTTTTACAGTCTGTCAAAGTCAATTTTCAACTGTCAATATTGCTGAAACAGTTCAAGATAGGTATATGACATTATACATGAAATATGTCTAGAATTTTCCGCAGAATCCAGAAATGTCAGAATATACAGGAGGAGTCGTTTAAAAAAACATAACTTTGTGTCAGCACTACTTATTGGGCCACCCTGTATACTGGAAAATACTTTAGGCATGTAGTACTCATGTTTATCTACAAGTTTTATATTCAGTTTTTTCTTTGATCTCTGTTAGTATAGAATATACAGAGTGATTCAAAAGTAAGCGGCATTCTTTCGGGGGCGTATTCCTTGCATAAAAATAAGACAAAAAGCTTCTTTTAACATGGGTTCGGAAATGCTTCCTAAGGGAGCTACGCCCCTTCGAATAGGACAACTGAAAGACGTATTTTTCTCTATAACTTTGAAACCCTTCACAAATGGATTTTGAAAATTGGTGTATTTTATAAACATTTGATGGCAGTTAAGATACTAAATTGAAATTTCAAAAATCTTAATCAGTGGCGTCACATACTGGGGAGGGTGAGGGTTAAAACATCCCTATTTTATTTACTCGTCAGATTTTTGCGATTCTGATTGAAAATTCAGAAAGTTTATAGTTTTTTTACACAGAAAAGCTACTCTTGGTTCAATTCGTTACAGCGTACCGTTTACGAGAAAATTGACTTTGAAAATTTTCTGATTTGCGTATGTTTCGCAAAAACCTGACGAGTAAAAAATAATAGGCATGTTTTCACCCTCCCCAGTATGTGATACTGATTAAGATTTCCAAATTTTCAACTTAGTATCCTAATTGCCATCAAATGTTTATAAAATACACCAATTTTCAAAATCCATTTGTGAAGGGTTTCAAAGTTATACAGAAAAACACGTCTTTCAGGTGTCCTATTCGAAGGGGCGTAGCTCCCTTAGGAAGCATTTCCGGACACATGTTAATAGGAACTTTTTGTCTTCTTTTTATGCAAGGAATACGCCCCCGAAAGGATGCCGCTTACTTTTGAATCACCCTGTATGGACCACCGCGCGCTTAGTAACTCACCCTGTATATAAAGTGTCTCCAAATCGTACTCACCTTTAATGACCTCTTTTAAATAACCATAATTTTTAGTTCGATAACCGCATCAGGAGTGGTCTCTTCTGTAAGTTCTCCTGAGAGTCCTCCATTAAAAAAAAAGGTATTTATTTTGCTTTTTTCGTTAGGTTAGACGTGATTAATTTGTTACTTATTTGGTATTTGTTTACAAAGTGTTTCTTCATCATGCTCATCATAACTTTTTTTTAACTGGAGTTTTGGTCGCAAGTATTGACATCCATTTTTTGACAATATAAGTCACCTTGAGTTACTTCCAGATAAATAGCAATAGCCTCAACTGTAATTCCAAAAATTGAAAGCATAATGGCTTACCCCTTTACGATGTTTTTTTTTAGTTAAAGGTCTTGTTTCAAATTTTGAAAGAATTACATAAGATAATTATTCACCAGTATGCCGCTACAAATCTTACCAATTATTTCTACTAAAAAAAAAGTTCAAAAAAAAATTGGATGTTAACAACTACACTTGCTACCAAAATTTGAGTTGAAAATGTCAAAAAATTATGAATGAAAGTCACAAAAGTTTTGTCCTATTATTCTTAAAATTTTATTTCAGAAAATTTTTCGTCGGTGACATCAACAGCAGTGATTTTTCTTCACCTAGCGCAAAACGGTACTGGCGCCAGGCAAAGTCTACCATTTCAAAGCAAAGGTTGAAAATAAAAAATCTACAAAGGGCTAAAAGGCGTCTTATGGATCGTGTCACTAATTTAGGTTCCCTATTAACTCATCTACGGGACAACAAATATTTGTCTGATAGAGCTCAAGAGATACTTCAGGTAATTTGATTATTTTTAATCCCAAATAAATACCGCTTACCGATTTATTGTTTATTAGGAAAGTGTTCCCACACATGCGAAAACATTATTCAACCGTATGCTAAAAGGATCTTCAAGACAAAAATAGTATCCGGATTTGAGAACCTTTGCTTTGTCATTGAATTTTTATTCATCAAAAGCTTACAACTATGTTCGGTCGAAGTTCAACAAAAGTTTGCCTCATCCTTCTACCATAAGTAAATGGTATCGAACAATTGATGGTGCTCCAGGCTTTACACAGGAAGCATTGGTTGCACTTAAAACCAAAGTTCTTCAAACAAATTATAAGATAATTTGCAGTCTTGTAATGGATGAAGTTGCCATTAGAAAACAAATAGAATGGGACGGAAAACAATATAATGGCTGTGGAGTCAGAATGAATTATTCCGTCCAAGCACCAGAAGCAACTGAGGCTCTAGTATTTATGCTTGTCGGCCTAAACACAGAATGGAAGCTACCTATAGGCTACTTTTTAATAAATGGTTTGAATGGATGTGAAAAAGCAGCACTGGTTAATCAGGCTCTGGAATTTATCAACGAAAGTGGAGTTGTTGTTTCCAACTTGACATTTGATGGTGCTCCATCCAATGTAGCAATGGCTACACACTTAGGGGCAGATATTTCAGATTTCACATCGATAAAATCATACTTTGCACATCCTGTAACTAAGAAAAAGGTATTCATAATTTTTGACCCATCACACATGTTGAAGTTAGTGCGAAACTGTTTTGGTGAATACAAAAAATTGGAAGTTTCTGGAAATACTATTGATTGGCGTTATCTGGATGAGTTGATGAAAGTTCAGGATGCGCAAGGCCTAAGAGCTGCCAACAAATTATCCAAGCGTCATATTAATTGGACTCAAGAAAAAATGAAAGTGAAGTTGGCCACTCAGTTATTTAGCAAAAGCACCGCTGATGCTTTAGGATTTCTACGGGAAGATATAGAAGAAAAAGATGTAAGGGATATTTTTAAAGACTCTTTACAGACCGAAATTTTCTTAAAACTTTTCAATGATTGCTTTGACATTTTTAATTCATCTAGTCGATTTTGTAAATACGAATATGAAAAGGCATTTTCATTGAGCACTGAGGATAGATTCTTGAGTAAATTTGAAGAGTTAAAGCAATTAATATTTACTTTAACATACCGGGGAAAATGTATTCTTAACACAGGTAGAAAAACTGGTTTTCTGGGTTTTTTAATAAACATGGAAAGTCTAACAGGTTTACATCAAGAATATGTCAAAAGTGAAACGCCATTATTAATAGTATATTAAAGTATAAGTGGATATTAAGGTCTTTAAAACACGCGCGATTTTTCGAGCACGACGGCGCAGCCGAGTGCTCGAAATAGAGCAAGTGTTTTAAAGACCAGTTATCCACGAATACTTTACACTATTTTTTTTTATTGGTATACGTTCAAATCATAAATTACTAATAATTGTGGAATGCTAAATTTGTGCTTGACACTTGTTACATTTTATTTGACGTTATCTACAAGTACCTAACCTACTCCTGACAAATCAATAATTAAAAAGTTGACATTAAGACCTTTCTCGGGTTGTTGGTTGTTGATGTTGTCATTGGTAACTTTAAAACACGCGCGTTTTTGAATGTTGGATTTAAACACGCCGAGGAGTACTTTAAATAAGTGAAAAAGGTTATCAATAAAAAAATATATATTTTAACTTATAAGTTGTCTCAAGACCACCTTGAAATTTTTTTCTCCGCTCTGCGAAGTAGATTTGGCAATAATAATAACCCAACTGCAAAACAATTGAAAAGTGCCTATAAGAAGCTGTTAGTGCACATTGAGATTAAAGGTGCAGATACTGGTAATGCAGTTGCTATAGACAATACCTCAATTTTACATTGTGGTAGCAGTAGAAGTAGCATCACTAAGGATGAAAATGGTGAAAACCTACTGGACTCAGAAGAGTATAAAACCATCTGTAGGCAAATTGAGGATTTGGATTTCATCAACTCATCAGCATGGCACTTGACTTCATATTGTAGTGATATAGTAAGGTATATTGCAGGATATGTTAGTAAATCATTAGAAAAATGTATTTCTTGTAAGAAATGTAAAAATATGTTGAAGTCTAGCGAAACCTATTCTCTTTTACAAAGAAGAAAAACTTACTGGTACACCACAATGTACAATGCTTCGAACTTTGTGAGTAAACTTTCTGTAATTGCTGAAAAAAGTTTCAGAGTAATTAATAGTGAAATAAGTATTTTCAGCCAAAATATTAAAAAATTGCTGGATTTATTAATTGGTTCTGCTCTAAGACAACTAAATCCTTCAATTTTTGATTACTTTGGGGATCATATTTTCGACGAAGGTCCTCTTTCTAACCATTTTATAGAATTTATTAAAATAGTCTTTAAAAAATACTTTAACATCAGGATACACCATGAGACATTTAAAAAACTGGATTCTTCAGTACAAAATAGAGTGACAAGTAAGTTAACAAAATCTATAACTTTCCAGAATCAATAGTTTTTTTTTTGTAATTTTTTCAACATGTAAAATAATTTTTTTGTTTAACATGGTAATATCTAGGAAGATATTCTCAACTTTTTGTTAAAAAAAAAGTAAGTCTTTATGATTAAACAGTGTTTCGTAGCATTTTCTCCATAAGATAGTCGTGCTCTTCAACAACTTGTAAAATATCATTAATTGAATATTATTAAGTATGTAGTAGGTACCTCTTATCAAAACTCTTAGGCGGTTATCACTCCAGCAATACGCGACGGCAACGATACCGCGACGAGATTCAAATGGTAGCGACTTGTCGGCGACCAGTTTCTAGGAAGAATTTACACCAAGGATACGCTACTCCGACACTACCGATATGTAATTTTATATATTTATTTAAACTATTTTGTAGAAAAAACCAACTTCAGTCAACAAAATGTCTTCGTCAAGTGAAGAGGAAGCAGTCATAGTGGCATTATTTTATTTAAGAAAAACGCGAAAAATATATGGAATATTCACTTAAATTATAATTATATACCTATGCAAAAATATTTTTCGATTATCTCCACAAATCTAATGTTATTTTGTTCCTCACTCATATTAATAATTTTATGTACGTAGGTATCTTGGCAGTCGCAAGGAGACTGAGCCACTCGGTCGCCCGAGACTGGTATCTTCCAGGTAGCGTTGCGATCGCGTCGCTGTTGCCTTGGTGAGCAGGTCTCCATTCGAAACTATTTGCCGCGACTGCAAAGCTACGTCCGTCGTGTCGCGGTATCGTTGCAGTCGCGTATTGCTGGTGTGATAACCGCCTTACAGCCGTATTCATAGTCAATCGCCAGCGAGTCGCCAGGGAGTCGCCGTGTGCTGGGCCAAATACGGCGACTCGCTGGCGACTTGCTGGCGATTGACTATGAATACGGCTGTTAGATACTAGGAATAAAAAATTGTTTTTAGAATTTCTCAAAATAAATTTGTATAAATATTATAAATCTTCCTTATTTTCTATTTCACATTATTTTTATATGTCAAAACTGTTGGTGAAAAATACTCGTATACTAGAATAATGACATTTTTTTACTTTCATTTTGTATGATTAGAACATTATAATATAGTTAGAAATATTCCTAAAAATAAATGTATTTTTTTTACTACTAACCTGAGAAGTAGTCGTTATTCAATCTATTTTTCTCGGAAAAAATTGAATTTCTCTCCCTAGGTTAATAATGAAAATAAAGAAAAAAAACCTAGGTCAATAATGAAAATGACGTCATGACGCAAGGATATTGTCATAACGTTACAGGTTTCTATTGATCTAATTTCAATTTCAAACTGTCAATTTAATCAGAAAAACAGGTTCCTGTATGTATCATAGGAAATTACCATAGACGTTGATAGAGGGCAGCACTTCCAACTAGAAAAAATAATTTTAGCACAGATTTCAAACTTATTTTTTATTTTCTACTATAGCAGTAGTAAAAAAAATTCTATATATTCCACGGTAGAGAAAGTCATTATATACCTTACGCATTATAAACCTCGGCGCTACGCGCCTTGGTTTATAAAAGCGCTCGGTATATAATGACCAACTTCTCTACCTAGGTATATAATGTACTATTATTAAATTAAATAATTATCTTTTATTGAAACATCCTTTTCTTTATGTAAAAGTATTGATTTATTATTGAAACAATAAATAATTATACTCTACCAGTTACATATGTATAGCCTTTGAAAAATCAAAAATAGAAAATACAGAATTATTCCTGCTGCTCCTATTTTCATATAAAATAGTTACGATTACTTACTTTTCAACATCTTTTTTTCTTTTAAAAACACTTCTAAACTGCTTAAATAGTAACAAATAAAAATACACAGTGCAATGTAAATTACCACGGGAGCAAATTTTGTTAAGATACAAATACAAATACAAACTAAATCTTAAATTATAACGCGTAGTAATAACGCGATATAAAATAAAATAATTAAAAAAAAAAAACCTGTACCTACGCCTATGATCAAAAATCTTTGGAGAGGT